CTGCCAGCTAAACACATAGCCTTCCTGAGCTCCATTTTCACTGGCAGAGGCACTTTGGGCCGGTTCTTCACTGTTTCCAGGGTGGCCCCGTGGCCCAGATCTAAGCACCCCACAGGCCGGATCCGGCCCCCAGGACTTGAGTTTGGCACCCTGATCTAATGCAATACATGGCAGAATTTAGATTTTATTTGCAATCTGGCCTGTTTTTCAGAAAGCACTCTTGATTCTTCCAGACAAAATGTTGGAACCATCCGACTTTCTAAAGGAATCCATAGGGAGATGGGCACATTAAGAACCATCAAATAATCAGATCAATGCTGTTCTATTGCTTTTAGACTTCATTCTCTCCCAAAATTCAATTAGGATTAGTTTTTGGTTAGTAAATTCAGTCTTTGGTTTGGAGAAAGGGAAGAGTGGTGAGATATTAGCAAGCTCTTAAAGCTCAACACAGACTTAATACCTCAGATGGATGACTTAATGGATTTTAGCTATATACTAATCCAACCTGTCTTTTACAGGCAATCCTTGACGTACAACAGTTTATTCTCTCATGAGCTGTGAAGAGCATCCAGAAGTGGAAGGTGCTTCAGTCTCTTCTGGAAAGGCTGGGCTTAAAACTCCGGGACGCTCCTCCTCCTCCATGGGACACCTCCTCAGCATCCCCCAGTTTTAGCTCAGCCTTCGTGGTAAGAGGTTGTGCACTCCCTGACTGGAACGGTTTCTGATTCAGTTAGTCAAGATTCAGTTCTCTTTAAGAACAAGTGTGTTCCTAGAACAGCACCTTTTAGTAACAGGAAGTGAAGCAGGAAGTGAAGCTTAAATAATTATGCCTCATTTCATTTATAAACATCTGTTGGGATGCCTCACAATTAAACTTGACAGGATTAGGCAAGTTTTAGATACAGGACCCTTCTTTATATAGATATGATTCAGTTATGAAGCCCACAATGTATTAAGTAATAAGTTGCCACTTTTGGGGAATGTATTAATTGTATTGCAAGAAAGGTCAATGAATTTTAAAAGAACAAAATGAACACATCAATCAGATCAGCAAACCAACTACAGGCTCCAAATATTTTTTTTTTTTAAGTAAGAATACTGGATATATAATGTGGCCTTAATCAACCTGAAGCAGTTTATTTCACCATGTTCTATCCATACCATGGCTTCCTGACTGTGTATTTAAGTTTCCCATGAGGACGTTAGATTACAGATAATCCTCAATTGACAACGGTTTGTTTAGTGGCTGTTAAAGGTTACCATGGCTCTGAAAAATGTGATTTATGACTGTTTTCAGTTACCTTAGCAGCATCCTCACAATCTTGTGATCAAAATTCAGACATTTGACAACCGATTCATATTTAGGACCATTGCTGTGTCCCACTCCCAAGGCCACATGATCACCTTTTGTGACCTTCTGACAAGCGAAATCAATGGGGAAGCCAGTTTCACTTAACAATTGGGTTATTAATCGGGGGTGGGATTCAAATTTTTTAACAACCTGTTCTGTGGGTGTGGCTTAGTTGGTGGGAGTGGCTTGATGGTCATGTGACTGAGTGGATGTGGCTTGGTGGTTATGTGACTGGCTGGGCGTGCCCAACTCAATATCACTCACATCGAGGCACGCATCTCCTCGCCTGGCCTCTCATGACCGTGGGGATGCTGCAACAGTCGTAAGTGTTAAAAATGGTCATATGTCACTTTTTTCAGTGCCATTGTAACTTTGAATGGTCATTCCACACAAGCAAAGTACCAGCAAAGGAGGGAAAAAAAACTCCAGTGAAGTTCCAGAGATAGGAAGTCTAGTCCAGCCAAGAATGTAAAAAGGGTTAACGGAGGCAGTTTCCGTAAGCAACACCAGAATGTTTCCTTCCTGCCTTCCTTAGGGGATTAGGCCAGTAATTTCTTCTAACAATCAGTTCTCCGAACTGCTTAGAATGTTAACTGGTTCTAGCGAATAGGTGCGAACTGGTAGAATCCCACCCGTTATTAATTTATTAACCACAGATTCAGTTAACAACTGTGGCAAGAAAATGGGGCAAATGTGCAAAACTCACTGAACTATGGAGATTCTCAGTCATTCCGGTCATGGTTGTCCCAAAGGTGCTTTTTTTTCAAGAGGCAACTGGACTTTTTCTTTAAAGTCATTTCACTTCTCTTCTCATCTCATCAGCTGAAGAAGGTTCTTGGATGAGAAGTGAAACATCTTCAAAGAAAAACCAGAAAGTCCATTTGCCTCTTTAAAAAGCACCTTTGGGACAACCATGACCTGGATGACTGAGAATCCCCATTGACATTCACTGAACAAATGTTAAGATGTTGAGACTCTAGAAAGAGTGCATAGAAGAGCAACCAAGATGATGAGGGGACTGGAGGCTAAAACATATGCTGAACAGTTGCTGGAACTGGGCATGGCTAGTCTACTGAAGAGAAGGACCAGGGGAGACATGATAGCAGTCTTCCAATATTTGAGGGGCTGCCACAGAGAGGAAGGGGTCAAGCTATTTTCCAAAACACTTGAAAGCCAGACAAGGAACAATGGATGGAAGCTGAGCAAGGAGAGATTCAATCTAGAAACGAGAAATTTTCTGACAATGAGAACAATCAACCAAAGGAACAGTTTGCTATCAGAAGTTGTGGAAGCTTCATCCCTGGAAGCTTTCAAGAAGAGACTCGACTACCATGTCAGAAATGATGTAGGGTCTCCTGCTTGGGGGGGGGGGGGGTTGGACTAGATGACCTCCAAGGTTCCTTCCAACTCTGTTAATCTGTTAATCATTTCCCTTAACAACAGAAATTTTAGATTCAATTGCGGTCCTAAGTCGAGGACTACTATATTCTAGAATTCCCCTTTTTTCTGAATACTTTCCATAGAGGTTTCTTGCTATTCCGCGTATTTCTAAGAATAACTACAATGAAAACTACAATGATCTAATACATATTGATTTTACAGAAGACAATGTTGAAAAAGCACTAGGCAATCTAAAACCATCTCTATCTATTGGACCGGACGGAATATGTGCCTACTTCTTAAAAAAGCTATCCACTGCTGTAGCCGAACCTCTAAGCATAATCTTTGAAATATCTTTCAGGACCAGCTCCTTGCCAAAACTATGGTCACAAGCCACAGTCATCCCCATCTTCAAAAAGGGAGACCCCAGCCTAGTTGAAAATTACAGACCAATCTCCTTATGCTGCGTCACCTGTAAAGTCATGGAATCAATTATTAACCAATCCATTATCCTCCACTTAGAGACAAACACTCTCCAATAAACAATTTGGTTTCAGAAAAAACTATCCTGTAATCTGCAACTCTTAAATTGCAAAAACATATGGACTACACAACTCGATCAGGGCAAAGCAATAGACGCAATCTACATAGACTTCTGTAAAGCCTTTGATTCAGTGGTACATGATAAACTACTCCTAAATCTAAAATCTTATGGTATCTCTGGACAACTGTATAACTGGATAGAAGCATTCCTGTCAAAACAGACAACAAATGGTCAAAATTGGGAGTGTCTTACCAAATTCTGTACTTGTCAATAGTGATGTCCCCTAAGGCAGTGTTCTAGGACCAACTATTTTCATACTCTACATAAATGACCTCTGTGATCATATTAAGAGCAACTGCATTTTCTTTGCTGATGATGTAAAGCTGTTCAATACCACAGACAATACTGCTACCCTTCAAAAAGATCTTGACTATGTATCAGAATGGTCAAACAAATGGCAACTTCAAATCTGAACAAATAAATGCTCTGTCTTACATACTGGCAAAACAAAAATCAGAAAATAAAATACAAGCTTAATAGTCAAGGCCTTGTTGATGATCCAAGCTCTGTAAAGGACCTTGGAATACTCATCTCTAATGATGTAAGTGCTAGAGCCCACTGCAACTACATAGCCAAAAAGGCATTAAGAGTTGTTAACCTAAACTTACATTGCTTTTTCTCTGGTAATATCACACTACTAACTAGAGCATACAAAACATTTGCTGGACCAATACTCGAATACAGCTCATCAGTCTGGAACCCACATTACATATCTGATATTAGCATGGTTGAGAAAGTCCAGAAATATTTCACAAGAAGAGAGCTCCACTCCTCTACTCATTATAGAATACCTCATGCCACCAGACGTGAAATTCTAGACCTAGAAAACCTTGAATTATGTCATCTTCGGTTTGATCTAAGTATGGTATATAAAATCATACATTGCAATGTCCTACCTGTCAATGAGCTTCAACCATAATACAAGAGCAAACAAAAGATACAAACTTAAGGTAAACCGCACCAAACTTGATTGCAGGAAATATGACTTCAGCAACAGAGTGGTCAATGTCTGGAATACTCTACCTGACTCTGTGGTTTCTTCCCCCAACCTCAAAAACTTTAACCTTAGGCTGTCTACAATTGGCCTCACCCCTTTCCTAAGAGGTCTGTTGGGTTGTGCATAATAAGCGCACCAACATGCCTACCCTCCCTGTCCTATTGTTTCTTTTTATTTTTCTTATATGTACCCATTTCATGTATTCATAACTACGTATATACTTATACCTATTATCTTGTAAGCGATTGGCAAATCAAAAAAATAAAAAAATAAAAATAGGTGGCTTCCTTTTGGTTCCCCGCCGCCGCGAAAGCCCAAAACCATCAGGCAGATGCGCCTCTTTGCAGGCGCAGCGGCCCGCCTGCTCTCAATGCAGCCCCGCTTTGCAAAGCAGGACCTTCACGCGCCTCCTCAGCGCCCAGAGAAGAAGCCCGGAGACGGTCTCAAGAAGACTCGGGAATGGGGAGGGCGACACCACAACCGCCCGACGCACGAGTCCCCGGGCGGCTCGGCTGCCATTGGCCCCGGACGAAGGTGGGGTCGGGAGGCGTTTCGCCCGGAGGCTGAACCGCCGGCCTTGAATCCCTCGCTTGCGCAGCCCTCCCACCGCGCGGCTGTCAAGAGGGAAGGGAAAGGCAAGAGGGAAGGAAGGAAAAGAGGCTCGCTCGGAGCGGCCGACGCCATTGGGCCCGGGAGCGAAAGAAGGCGGGCCGCTATAAACTCGCCTTATAGGGCAGAGGAGGAGCCGGGCGGCTGAAGAGCTGCGCCTTTCGCCGGCCGAGGAAAGAGCTGGAAGGTTTGCCGAGGACTTCAGTCCAACCAAAGTCGCACCGCCCGTGAGGGGAAAAAACAAAACAAAACAAAAAGCCGAAGGGTCCCAACCTGGAGAGGCTGCGCCTGCCGCGTAATTACGCACCGCTTCCAAGAGTGGCGCTTTAGTGCCAGGTACCGTAGAAGCTGCGCGCTTTTTTCATTCATGCGGGGAGGGCGCGAGGCCGCGAGTCTGTTGCTGGCTCAGTGTGGTGGAAGGCGGGTAGTGGCGTGTTTCGGAGTAATGGGGTGACGGGGGGACAATCGGTCCGAGAGGGAGGGATGCTCTGTCAGGCAGAACCGTAAACTCGCTGGCACCCCGAGCTTTCCAAAGCAGGGGTCTCCAACCTTGGGCACTTTAAGCCGGGGGGGGGGGGGGGGGGGAACACTTCAACTCCCAAAGCTGGCTGGGGAATTCTGGGAGTTGAACCCCTCCCCCCCCCCCGCTTAAACCGCCCGGGGGGGGCCCCCCCCGTGCACGGTGGGGGGGGGAATTTTGGGAGTTGAAGCCCCCCCCCCCCGGCTTAAAGTGCCCAAGGTTGGAGATTTCTGTTAGCTTTGCCTTCAGCTCTGTGTCGCCTCGTGGTTACTTCGCGGATACGCCAGAGTTGCCTTCAATTGCATCAGAAGCGCCGCCGCCTTAATTGGCCTCGGAGCAATTGCTGCATAGGTGTGAGGAATGCGTGGAAGGTTGCCTCTCCGCTGAAGACTGCGCCTGCCTACCGGCGCGGAAGCCTGCCGAGGTATTCCCGTAACAATTTAGAGGGCGGGAGGGGGGGTCAGATTCGAGGGGGGGGGCACCTGCTCCTCTCATCTGGTTTCTTGCAACGGAGGGGTTGTCGAAAGTTCCAAGAAATAACGCGGAGGATTTTTCCTGTTTAAGCATTTTAAACATTAAATCAAGGGTCTTCTTCAAACTCTGCTCTCGCGGCCCATTTGGAGTCATGGTTAAATCTTACATCCATTTAATGCAAGGCTGGGGGCGGGGTTTGTCTTCAAACTTGACAGCTTGAAAGACTTGTGGACTTCAACTCCCAGAATTCCTGAGCTAACATGACTGGAGGAGGAATTCTGGGAGTTGAAGTCCACAAGTCTTTCAAGCTGTCAAGTTGGAAGGCCTCCCTGCATTAAATGGATGTAAGATTTATCCATGACTCCGCAAGAGCAGAGGATTGGGATTTAATGAATTTTAAATGAATTCAAGCGCTTCGGCTCCGGTCTTGCAACGAGATGCTGCTTCTGGAAGGTTCATTTTTCCCTGTCGGACAAGCATGGAAGGCTGTCCTGGAACCGTCACGGATAAAGATCATTTCCTTGTAAATTGCCTCTCTCCCCGCTGCCTTTTAATGCACGCCCTCTCTCATCCGGCTTCTTCGGCCAGCTCCATGAAGTTCAACGGGATTTCCTTCCCGCTGCCTAGCAGCCTTTTGCAACCTGGGGCCCTCCAGATGGAAATGTCACTTGCCACAATTCCCAGTTGGGATGCCATGGCGCTGCATGGATATCCATGCTTCGCTACCAAACTATGTGATCGGGCTTAGGGGGGTGATAAGGGGGGGGAAATCTCCCTCTGCGTACCAGCATCCATCGGTATGCATCAGGGTAGTGTCCTGTCAGTGTGTGGAGAGAATTGAGGGCTGTTTGGAAACTGAAGCAGTATTTGCTGTGTGAGCAAGGAGGAGACAGCAAGGAGCCTGGGCCTGGCTTAGCTCAACCGTTCTGTACTAAAGCTGGTTGGTGCTGTGAAACTAAAACTGAAACTCCTCTCCTCTGCTTGTGTTTTGCATTTGGAACAGATTTCTTTTCAGGTGGGGAGGCGGAGTACTCCTTAGCATCAGAATGTGTTAATAATATAGGAAATACTAATGTTCTGATAATCTTTTTGAAAAATCCTTTCTTTAGTGAGCACGTAGAAGCCAAGAGGAACATACATGCCAAATTTCAAGTTTGTAGGCTTTACAGTTTGGAGATTTTGTGATGATGCCTGAGTGGTATTTCGCTTTTATATTAGAGAGAGAGAGAGAGAGAGAGAGAGAGAGATAGCTAGATAATAATCCAGGGGTCCCCAAACTTGGCAACTTTAAGACTTGTGGACTTCAACTCTGGCTGGAGAATTCTGGGAGTTGAAGTTGCCAAGTTTGGAGACCTCTGACATAATCGATGCTTTTTCTCTGCTTTTCTTTGACTGGCCAGAGTCCCATTGTGCGAGATGGGCGGCTCTATAAATGCGATTAGTCCTAATCTGCCGTGTTAATTTGCCACTGGGCTTCTTGAATTCGTCACGATCCTTGCCTTCAAGCCTGCTGTGGCTTGGCTGAAGTCCAGGGATTGGGAGCGGCGACGCCGCCGCCTTGATTTTTCTGTGGCGTTGCGTGGATTTCCAAGGTTTGGCAAGGCGCTGCCAAAACAAGAGCCGAGCGGCGGCCTCGAGAAGAAGGCGAGCAGGACGGGGCTGGCGTCTCTGTTGCCAAGCGAGGCGCGGGGATGCGAGAGAGGGAGGCGGCTCCGGAGAATGCGGAAGGCATCCAGCTCGCTTCGGCCCGAAAAAGAGGGCCGAGCGATCGAGGCTGCGTCAGCCCGAAGATTTGCCGAAAGGAGACCCTGGAGGAGGCGGTGCCCAGTCCCGGCTCTGGCTTCTTGCGCGGATGCTGGTTGCGTGCCTCTCTCTCTCTCTCTCTCTCTCAGAGGCGCTCCTGGATGCTTCGTCTTTCCCTTTTGACACGCGAGCCTGCCTCGGGTCGTCGGGACGCGGAGCTTTTTTGCCTTGCGTGGAGCCCTTGGCGGTGTTCCAGTTCGTTTTTTAACCCAGCGTTCTTGAACGCGGTCGAGGATCTCTTAATCATCGAAATCCGGGGTTAATTTGAATTGCACCCTTTAAATTAATTGCTGCGGGGTGTCGTGTGCAATCTGGTTTTGGCTCGGCTGCTGATAATAGTGGTTCCTTAGGAGTTTAATATATTGGGAAAGGTGTCCCAAAGGTGCTTTTTCAGGAGGCAACTGGACTTTCTGGTTTTTTCTTTTGAAGATGTTTTGCTTCTCATCCAAGAAGCTTCTTCAGTTCTGACAGGATAGTGGGGAATCTGTCAGAGTTGAAGAAGCTTCTTGGATGAGAAGCGAAAGGTCTTCAAGAGAAAAAAACAAGGCCAGTTGTCTCCTGAAAAAACACCTTTTGGGACAACCTTGACTTGGATGACTGACAATCTCTACAGATTGGGGAAGGTGGCTTAATAGCCAGAAGTTTGACTTAAGACTTAGAATAACTTTATTGTCACTCATTTACATTAATTGGCATGCATTAAAAAATTTGTTGCATGCAGCTCTCAAAGGTTCACCACCTCCAATATAAACTGCATAAACATGACTAAATAAGTACATAATTATGCATCTACCTACAGACCCACGTAAACGACACATAAAGTTTTGGATTTATTCATTGTGGGGCAAAGTTCTGCATGGTTATAGGAGAGTTAAGTTGCATTATGTTGAGTAATTGGGGGAGGGGGGTTTAGATATCCTCTGGTTTTCGGGTATGTGTACCTTTATGTCAGGGTTGATTTGTGATGACTACATACACACTAGGCAGTTTTCTTGACAAGATTTTTCAGACTGGTTTGCCATTGCCTCCTTCCTAGGGCTGAGAGGGTGTAGTTCAGAGGTCTCCAAATAGCTGGCCGGAGAATTATGGGAGTTGAAGTCTACAAGTCTTAAAGTTGCCAAGTTTGGGGACCCCTGGTGTAGCGGTCCAAGGTCATTTTGTTGGCTCTGCTCCTAAGGTGGGGCTATGACTCACTGGTTTCTAACTTGATACCTTTAACCCTTACACTACACCAGACTGGCCCTCCCTTTTTCCTCTGTAGAACTTCATTCTTCGTTTCTTTACCATTTTTACATGCTTCCTCAGAATCTTGGAAGCTAAGCAGCTTAGGACTTGGTTAACACTTGCTTGGAGATCATTGGGAAGTTGCAGAAACATCCCAGAAGCTGTCTCAGTTTTGACCTGAATTACATACCGGTATTTCCGATATGGGCATGTGTCCCAATTAAAAAATAAAAATGAAAACATGGACTTTATCATAGTTTTAAGGTACTGGAATTACTGGCGTTTTACTTAAGCTAATATTTGTATCTCAGCGGTTGCATGACCTCTTCAGATACCAATACGCTAAATAAATAAACTGGAATTATGGTGCTGTATCTATTGTGTTTTACAGTCGCAAACTTTAGACATGCAAGGAATTTGTCTCCAGTGCAGAACCTGTCAGTGTATATAGGCAAAGGAACATTATTATCATGAGTAATACAAAAGGATAATAATACTACAAAGATTCTGTATGGATAAATATACATAGACATTAGATAGTTATTGTGAGAATTAGGTGTTTGGCAGAGTGATGGCACGAAGGAAAAAAACCTGTCCATGTGTCTTAATTGATTGTCAGGCAATGCCTTATGGGGCATTCTGAGGGGAGGAGTTGAAACAGTTTATGTCCAGGATGTGAGGGGTCTGTAGATATTTTCTCAGCCCTCCTTCTGACCTGCACAACATACAGGTTGTCTATGGAAGGCAAACTGGTTGCAATTGTTCTTTCTGTATTCCTAATTTATCAGTCTGCACCTGTCCTGATTGGTTGCTGTATCACACCAGACAATTATAGAAGTACAGGTAGTCCTTGACTTACAGCCACAATTGAGCCCAAAATTTTTGTTATTAAATGAGACATTTGTTGAGTTTTGCTTCATTTTATGACCTTTTGTACCACAGTTAAATGAATCACTGCAGTTGATGTTAGTAGCTTGGTTGTTAAGTGAATCTGGCTTCCCCACTGACTTTGCTTGCCAGAAGGTCTCCCAAGGTGATCACATGACCATAAATACAAACCCGTTGCTAGGCATTTGGTCACATGATCATGAGGATGCTGCAAAAGTTGCAACTGTGAAAAATGGTTATAAGCCACATTTTTCAGTACCATTGTAACTTTGAACAGTGACTAAATGAACTTTTGTGAGTCGAGGATTACCTTGTATAAATAAGAGACTCAATAATTCCTTTGTAAAACTATCAATAGTTTCTGGGGCATTCTGAACCTCCTGAGTTGATGCAGGAAGAACATTCTTTGTTGTGCCTCCTTCATGATGGGTTTTCATGTTTGGTGTCCATTTCAAGCGCTGCGAGATTACAGAACCCAAAATCTTGATGCATTCTACTGTTGATAACTGTGCTGTGATACCACTGATGCTCAAGTACTGAATGCTTATAGGAGAAGTTGGGAAGGTTGAAGGTCTCTGAAAGCTTCTGAATTACGGCCTCCAGTATCTTTCACTGCTGATCTTGTCAGTTGGATCTAGTGCAGATTCGCAACTCCTGGAAAATTAGTGGTTCTTCCACCCTGGTGAATGAAATTGCAATATAGTACAATTGTAGTCAGCTCACCACTGCAACGTAACTTGCATTATATTTCCAACCATTGTTTTGAATAGTATTAAAATGGTAATTATTAATTTTTGGGAGGAGGCTTTGAAGTATTTCTAGCAGGACTACCAGATTCTGTAACAGCTTTGTTCCCTATGCCATCCATCTGGTAAACTCGCAAGATTCATTTTTCTCCCCATGAACTAGACTGTGTTGTTTCTCCGTGTCATATAATATATGTGGGTATGTGCATAATTTTGTATTTATTTATTCATTATGTCATGTTTATGTAGTGTATATTAGAGACCCTTTGAGGGCTGTATGCAACAAAATTTCATTTTAATGTATGCCAATTAGTATACATTCAAAGAGACGATAAAGTTGTTCCAAGTTCTTTAATTACTAAAATATTGCTGTGATTGTCTAAATGCATAGTGAGTTAAAAAAAAAAAGGGAGAGGAATTAAACTTAAACTTCTTTTACTGATTATCACATACCAGGATGAATAGAAATATCCCTTGGATCGTGACTAACAATCTCCCCAGCCCTTCACACAAATCCTACACTATTGTTTGGCCAGTGTTGTTATTTTGATTGAAGATTAGATACTGTCAAAGCTGCTGTACAGATCCCAAGTTCTAGTCTTGTGAATTTCTGAATAATAGTTGCATGTACATTCTCAAAGACCTGAGTCACACACTATAACCAGCTTATTTGCATTCCACTCTTTGAAATAGGCAGAAGGCAATTGTATCTCTGAATTGCATGACTTGTAAATAGATTATATGAAATAAGCAAGATGTATTTCTCCATCTTTGGACATTTTCCAAACAATTAAGTTTGAAGGGAATGGACATGAGTTAAATCTTGGTGATCTGTGCCCCTGGTCTATAGCCACAGAAGGTGAAGAAAAAGTCGAGAACCGCTGTTTTAGAGAATATAGATACGTTCCTGAAGAATTTCCATTAGTCATGCATGATAGAATTTGGCAAGCAAGGTCACTGTTCCAATTTCCTTGCCTCCCTCTTGTACAACTCTTAAAAAAACTTCCACTGAACTTATTTTAACTCTTTAGGTGCTGGGCTGCTCCCTTAAGTTTTTCTTGAGTGGTGACTGGAAGATTCTACTGTCAAGGTAAAAATGCCACAGATTACTCAATGCTTTATTTGCCATTGTAAGGCCATTTTTTATTATATATTTTACTACCCAAGCTGAGGTTAAAGTACACTCATTACTCTCATTAACAACATTGACCTGAGGTTGACCTGTGGGATAGAGATATTTATAATATTTATTTCTTGACCTTGTAGAGAAACATAAAAATCACTGAGATACTGTCTATCGTATAGATTTAGAAAACTGTTCCAGGAGAAGTAGAGGTCTCTGTTTTTCTTTTTACAACAGTCCTGATGATTTATACATACATGCATAATAATATAAGAGCCAGTTTGGTCTAGTAATTAAGATGATGGATTAGGAGCCTTAGGCGCAAAAAAACCCAACTTGGATGGCTTTGAGACAGTCAATTCTCTCTACGGTTTGAAGAAGAAAATAGCATTTTCTTTCTGAAAATGTCTTCTCCCTTAATTGGATTGGCTTGGATATAAAAATAAATCTCTCACAGACAAAAAAATCCAGCTAAATATATTGCAAATGAGTAATTTTGCAGGTTCTTTAGAGCTTTTTCTACATGGCTGAGCTGGCAGAAGACTAGCACCGATGCATATTGTGAATTTATAGCCTCTGTTCTGACTTGCTGCCAAATAGCTGTGTCCTCATTTCAAATGTGCAGGAAGTATGAAGGAAAGCTCTTGTCAGTGGTGGGATTCAAATTTTTTTTACTACCGGTTCTGTGGGCATGGCAGGGAAGGATTCTGTAAAATCTCCATTCCCTCCCCATCCTGGGGAAAGGTTACTGTAAAATCCCATTCTCTCCCCATCCCGCTAACCTGCTTTCCAGCTCCGTTCTCCTGTGCAGGGCAACAAAGAAGACCCAGCCAATCAGCTGGGACTTAATGGGAGGCAGAGGATAGATGGGGGCAGGGGCAGTCAGAGATGGTATTTGCCAGTTCTCCGAACTACTCAAAATTTCCACTACCGGTTCTCCTGAAGTCCTGGTTTGTTTGTTTGTTTACTCATGTCACAATTAAAACAAGGCATTTTATGTTGCATAAAAATGTAAAATATAAAATGCAAGATTAAAATATGTACAAATTAAACAGATATTGCCCAGAATACATGCCAATTGCCAACCACACGATCAATTGTGTGACTGTCAGGATGCTATAATGATTGTAAGTCGCTTGTTCCAGTGCTGTTGTAACTTTGAATAGTCACTAAACGAATGGCTGTAACTCGACTGACCAGAGTACTGGACAGTTTCCCCCAGCCTTTGTTCTTAACTGTTGAGTAGGCTTTTTTCCTACTGACTCCTCATGCAAAATAAGATAGAAGGACATATGGGATGAGATGGGAATCTTCCAGTAAAGCTGCCCCCCTACTACTGAACATCTTGAAGGCAGAAGTGTTATTCAGCAGGTTCTGACCAGTTCTGGAGAACCGGTAGCAGAAATTTTGAGTAGTTCGGAGAACCAGCAAATACCACCTCTGACTGGCCCTGCCCACATCTATTCTCTGTCTCCCGAGTCCCAGCTGATTGGCTGGGTCTTCTTTTGTTGCCCTGCACAGGAGAATGGAGCTGGAAAGTAGGTTAGTGGGGTGGAGAGGAAATGGGGATTTTGCAGTAACCTTCCACTGCCACGCCCATCAAGCAATGCCACGCCCACCAAGCTATGGCCACAGAACCGGTGGTAAAAAAAATGAATCCAATCACTGCTTGAAGGCCTCATGCAGACTCGAGCCTTATACCACTTGCTCTTTATTCATTCAATAATTTGCCAGTTGGCTATGTGAATGGAACACCTCATACCAAAAATAATCATGGTTTATAAAGCATGGTTTACATATATAACACGTTAAGCCAAGGACAAGCATCCAATTTACAACTTGACTGTTATAAAGAACCTGGCCAGCAGGGAGTTTCCATGGAAACCACGTCCATATTGCTGCCAAGAAAACAACCTGAACCACGTAGTCCCCAGGAACTGAGCTCAGTTTATGAGAGACTTTATCTTTTAATTGTATGTGGGACAGATGTTGTGAATATCAATTCTGGTTTTGTTTTGCTTTATTCTTTCCTCAGGTTCCTTTTTTGACATTTTTCAAAGCCAACTTCCCATCATCTTGTTTTTTCCTCATCACCGTCTCTGGCATTGAGTGATGTCCACGGCTGCCTTGATCGGTCTGGTTCGGAATAGAGGCCAGCAGCTGCAGAGGGCCCTGCTTACCTCTTGTGCAGTTCTCGGCTCCAAGTGCCAAATTTCCACCAACGACTGCAGGGCTTCGCGTTTCGATCTGGATGGGAGCGGCTGCCCTGCCACCTGGGATTCCTTTGGGATTTGGGACAACCGCCTGGACGAGCCCATCTTGCTCCCGCCCAGCATCAAATACGGGAAGCTGATTCCCAAGGTCAGCCTGTCGAATGTGGGCTGCGCCACCCACATTGGGAAACGGAAGGAGAACGAGGACCGTTTCGATTACGGCCAGCTGACGGAGGAGGTCCTGTATTTCGCCATTTTCGATGGGCACGGCGGGGTGGCGGCAGCTGATTTCTGCAACAAGTACATGCGGAAATATATTCGGTGAGCTCCATGTGTGGATTTGCAAGGGAAAGGAGAAAGACAGTTTTCACTTGCTTAGTTGTATACAGGTAGTCCTGTATACAGGTAGTTCGTTTAGTGACTGTTTGAAATTACAACAGCACTGAACAGCTATATTTGAATTATTAATGAAAGCTTCTCTTAGTATGTCTAGTTGCAATCCATGAGGCCCCTTATGAATATTGCAAGGTTTAAAACATACCAGTTGAATAATTGATATGTAATAGTTTATGGATGAGAGAAAATGGTTAGTTCCTTCAGACAAGAGTTTGACATAATTACTTTTTATTTTTTAGAGAATTTCTCTCTGAGGAACGCAACATGGAATTAGTATTGATTAAAGCTTTTTTAGAAATAGATAAAGCATACATGAGACATGCCCACTTATCTGCAGATGGTAAGTACGAAATGTTTTTCTGTTCATTGGTAACACAAAAACTTAAATTTATTCATCTAGCATAGCGGCCAGTGATAGTGAAACTTCAGGCTAGCTGTCCCGGGGGAAAATGAAACTTGAATATCAAGGATTTGCTATATCAAAATCCACAGGAAATCACGAAATCTACAGGAGTCTGTGGACCACAAAAGATTTCGAGAGAAAAATAAAATAAAATTTCAAAATTAAGTTGGTACATACTTTAAGACCGTGTTTTCTCAAAGTTGATTCCAAATATTTATTTGGAAATCTCCACTGAGAAGTTTTCAGTATTCACTTTCATTAAGTGAGTAATGCTGTTGTTATACAAATCTGGCTTTTCCCCATTGACTTTGTTTGTCCGTCGCTGGCTGAGAAGGTTGTGGATGGTGATCACATGATTTCAGATTCTGCAACTGTTATAAATACACACCAGTTGCCAAGCACCCAAATTTCGATCACATAACCATGAGGATGCTGAGATGGTTGTTAAGTGTGAGGAGCAGTCATAAGCCACATTTTTCAGTGCCATTATAGATAACTATGGGAAGATAGCGGTCATGGGACAGCCTTTTTAGTGAGGTCCTTATCCTCCTGTAACAGCTACTTTTATATGGCTGTAAAATAGTGCCATTGTAACTTTGAACAATCGCTAAATGAATTGATGTAAATCAAGGACAATCTGTACAGTATATACTTGTGGGTGTAGGAACAGTTTTTATTTTGTTTCCTGACATAGTCATGTGAAAAAGAAACTACATCCTCTTTGAGTTCTGTGGTTTTACATATCAGTTCATAGTAAAAAATCATCTGGTCCTTAGTAATCTTCAAAAGTTTTTCACGCATGGCTTCTCTGTTTTGGCTGTCTTTTTGTAAAATAAATGAGACGGTGTAAAATGTCATGTGTTGTTGTTCATCTGAGGTTATATTACCTTCTTTTAAGAACTGCTAAGGACCAGATGATTTTTACTACATCCGATACGTAAAACCACAGAATTCAAAGAAGGTGTATTTTCTTTTTCACATGATTGTAACTACCACTCTAAAAAGCAAATCTATTTAAGGACCTTAAAGTAATTTAAAAAATAAAATAAATAAAATAATAATAAAATAAAATAAAATATAAAATAATATAAAATAAAATAAAATAATAAAATAACAAAAGCTGTATAACCCACCTCTGAAACTGCTCCATCTTCAGATGTACATGTCAGAGGTGGTGGACATAATATAGTTTTGGTTAAACAGTATATAGTTAGTTTAGGAATGAGAGCTGTCCCCTTAAGGAAATGCCTCATGGGAAATGTAGGTAATGCCTCATGGGAGATGTAGTTCATGTCATGTGGTCACATCTGTAATCCTGATTGGTCACTGAATGACCTGGTTGGGTTGGGGGGAGTTTTGGTCATTCTTACCTGGACCCAGCAACCTGCTGGAGTCTTCCCTTGCTGTATCATTATGGGATGAAGATAACTATCTTTTCACACTATGAAGATGATAATGCAAAGATTGGACATTAGATGAATCTCAACGTAACTGTGAGATATACCTTGAGGATTCCTGATATAATCCAATAAAGAAACTTCGTATGGAAGCCTTTGTAGTGTTTAGCTCCTTATCCCAGGTTTTTTGGGAAGATAAATATTGCCTGGGACAAGATAATACTAGAAAAACCTTTCAAACTTTGATTGGGCTGGATAACCAAATGGAGAAATGGGGGAGGTGGGAAGTGTTAAGATCACAAGGAGAGCAAAAAATCTCTAGGGGACAGAACCGAATCCTTCATTGATATGTTTGACCTATTAAGCCTTTGGGAAGCCCCCCCCCCCCCCCCACATGTGGATCCTTTATACCAGACATCTTCCAGTCTGGTAGGGCTATACATGCATTGTTCTTCAACTCACATAATTCACAAGAGTCTGTTTATTGATTAAATTTATATACCGCTCATCCCACCATCAAAGCGGCTTGGTAGGCCTTCACATTTGTGAATTATGGGAATGGGTGTCCATCAGTTTGGGGAGGCTGATTTACATTATTGCAAGAAGCAAGTTCTTAAGAGAAACGTTATTACTCCAGCCATTTTTAGTACTCCCTGTTTTATTATGGGTAGTTAAATGTCCAAGAATGATGTTTATGATGATACTTACATTAATCTTAAATGGTGAAAGTATAATCGCTGAAAATGTTGGGTTTTCTAGTTAAAGAAGATGTGTCAGTCAAAGCCATGGTGTTTTTAAGTTTTAAAATGTTAACCTGCAACATTGAAGAAGGGAGAGAGCTGCAGAAAACAGCTGACTTATCATTTGGTATATTTTATTAAAACCAAACTTTCTAAAAAAAATTAGGGAGGTTGTAATTAAATTTGAAACGATTTGTATTTGTAGGAATGTCAGGTTGTCCTTTAACTTTTAATTCCATTGGAGTACAGTAATTATTTTGCTCTTTAAAAAGAAGCTATTGTATAAATGGCACAATGTTTTTATAGTGAAGCTCAGCACAAGCCTGAAGGATTCGACCCAGCTGAAAGCTACAAGACAGACAGAAATCTGACATTTGTGTCAGGACATAATTGTAATTCTTAACACATATTCAGTTGTACCTTTATGTCTTATCTGGTGATTTCTTATCCCAGTATTTTGAAATCTCCTCAAAGCAAAACCTCTTATTATGGTATATAAAAGTGTCCCGAGTATTCAAAATAAAATGTTTGTTTTTAAAAGTCTTTTGAGTGTCTTAACATTTCAAATTATCACTATTTAGCAGTAGTGAGCACTCAACTCGATGGATGAGGTTGCTATGGGGTAATTAATATGTAGGAAAGACTTCAAATTTCTCCCCTCTTTGTTTCCATAAACTGCTCGGAAGTGTGTTCGATTGCAGTGCCTCTTTTGCAGCTCTCTTCCTTCCAGCTGTGGCAGGTTTTCTGAATTGATTTGAAGCACAATTCCTGGGTGAATTTTTCCTATTTGCCTCTATGTGTACATGTGATTTATGGCAGACACAGTATCCGACCAACAGCTCTAGAGTTGGAGACCCGGGACTCTATATGCTGGGCTCCAGTGGAAAGAGAGATCTACTTATGGTGGCCCCAGGTGAAGGAGTCCGGCGGGTTCCTAGCTTGGACTGCTGGAAGGTTCCCACATCCACTTTGTCCCATTAGTTGAGATGACATGCTCTAAAAAATGTCCAGTGAGTGCAAAGATACCTATTGAAAGATATATTTTTTAGATGATAATATATGGATGCTGTTTGGGAAACCACATATTTATGCTTTTTAAGTTAAATTAAGCTACGTGGTGAGCTTTTTAAAATGCAATTGGAGATAAGCACAAATTATTTTGATTCATGATCTGATTCCTTGATTTTGGAACTCTGTTGCTGGTTAGATCTTCTCCTTCTTGCTGCGTTTCTTTTCATACCAGTAGAACTTGTCGCCTGTGAAGACTTCTTTAAGACTCACCCAAAGTGGACCTAAATGTCCTTGTTACAATCACCATCCTTAACTTGATGCTTTCCATGGGTGTTATTAATATTCTTTAATATGTTATCCATATTAAAGAAGTCTTATTAGTCTCAAGTCTTACAGGACAAAGAAATTTCCAGTTAATGAAACCAGAAATTAAGGACATAGGATTGGCATTCATTTTATACGTAGGTATGAAACGTCTTCCATAGATGTTTCACATGTACTTATGAAATGAATGCCAATCAATCATCCAGGTCATGGTTGTCCCAAAGGTGCTTTTCAAAGGCAACTGGACTTTCTTAAGTTTTTTTCCTTGAAAATGTGTTTCTTCTCATCCAAGAAACTTCTTCAGTTTTCAAGGGAAGGAAACCCAAGAAAGTCCAGTTGCCTTTTGAAAAAAACACTTTGGTACACATGAAGTAGGAAATTTCCTTTTTTTTTTTGACCCTGTAAGAACTCTTCATTTGCAAACAATCCAGTTGATCTTAAATATTACCTGAAACAAATCCACCCAAATTTGATAAAAGGGACAGAGTTAGTTTCACTGGAAAAAACCTTCATAATATTGGTCCTGAGACTTCATTGCTATCTTGTCTAACCCTGATAACAATGGGGTGTGATGTAGAAGTTCTGTGGATGCATTAGCTCCATGAGTAGCTCCTACAGGTCTCTAAGAATAGTATACTTAGACTGAGCCAGCTCATTTTGTACTAATCCATAGTTTACTTTCTGAAGCTTTCTCATATTGGCTGGATTCTCATAACGTTACACCAGTGTTTATATTTACTTAGCATGTTTTGTATACATGTACGACTTAGCTGTTTTGTGAACATATATAGCCGTTAAACTGTTGTGTGAACACAGCCAATTCATGGCTAAGCTAACAATTTTGCATCATGTGTAAACCTGACAGTTGTGCAATTTCCTAACGCTGTTGCAATGGCAACCTCAGAGGAGGAAATATTGAGTTCATCATGTTAATGTGAAGAGAAATTGATTTAGTGACATGCATGAATGCAGCCAGAGAATTAGCCCTGATCCAAAAATTAATACTTTTTAATTGTCATTGATAGACTCAGGGTGAAGCATTATCTTGACCCTGAAAAATATGAGTGTGTTTTCCATGGCAAAATCATTTATATCTGCTATTTTCTTCTCTGCTGCTTTAAATGGATGACCTTCAGATCTCCCATGCAGTCTGAAATGTATGAAAAAAATAAGTCAATTAATTTGATATGTCCAGCAAGTTAGACTGATCTTCCTCCAACCCAGTGCCTTTCAGAGATTTTGGACCACCATTCTGAAGCCATGGGGGTGCAGTGGTTAGAATGCAGTATTGCCGGCTGACTCTGCCCATTGCCAAGAGTTCGATCCTGACCAGCTCAAGGTTGACTCAGCCTTCTATCCTTCTGAGGTTGTTAAAAGGAAGACCCAGATTGTTCAATATGCTGACTCTGTACATTGCTTAAGGAGGGCTGTAAAGCACTAAGCTATAGAAGTCTTAAGTGCTACTGCTATTCTGATCATCCCCAGTTAGGTTGCCCTTGCAGGAGTTGGTAGTTCAACATTTCTGGGTGATTGTTGATTTATACCTTGGAACAAAAGGATTCAATTGTTAGAAGCAACATTTCCAAAAGCAAGGAATCAACTTGGGGAGATTTTTGGTGGTTCGAGACTTAGCTTTTAAGCATTGAAGGGGATTGAAGGGAAGAAAGCAACTGTCTTCTCACAGTGTTTTACTCGCTGATTAAAACAGGTATTTTACAGAAAACACAAAAAGGTTAAAATTGCTTTTCCCCATTTCTTTTCTCAGCTCTCTTTATTTTAAACACTCCAAGTAGATTGCTTATGAAGCACATTAATTCTCTGCATTTCACAATGATGAAACATTGAAATCATAAGCATACTTTTTTGCTAATAAGATTTGGTTGGTGGGCTGCTTGATGCATTGCTAAAGATGCGTCCTTAGAGTTAACCTCAGAGTTAACCTTTTATTAATAAATGGCCTACATCAAAGGATTGGCGGAAGAAAACTTACCTCCCTGGAAATTGTCAGTCTTAAATAAAACTCAAGGACAGTATCAAAGAACTATTTAAAATACCTGTTTTAAATAGTAGTAGTAATGTTCTAGGAATGTATCTCTATTTTCTTTCCTGTTTTTTGAACCTATGGAGTTTGCATAGCACAACAAGGCTTCATGCATATTTTTTTAAGCTGTCCAGGATGTATTGAATCTCTTTGGAAGATACACCCTTTCAAATAACCAGGGGCCGAGTATTTTGTTATTTCTCCCCACCCCATTTAAATTCCACATCAACTCTGTAATTTGAATAGTACTTGGTGACCTATTGGTAAGCAGTAAGTAATTCAGCGATTGCTATGCTTCTCAGAGTGGCTTTCACCCAGCTGCCTTCTGGACCAGTTGTAGTTTCCAAGCAGTTTTCAGAAGCAGCCCCAAGTATAGTATGCTACATCTGTCTAAAAGCATGAGTCATTCTTGCCAAGGCTCACTGTTCCAAAAAGAACCACTACTAATGGACTTGATTAATCCTGGCCACTGCCTTCTACTGGTCAAGCAGCAGCCCTGAAGGACCCCTTGAACCTCAGATTTGCTTTTTCAGGGAAAGTGTCACCCTATCCAGAGTCAATAAAAGAATAAAAATGGTTTGGAAGTCTCTGGGGTTCATATATGCCCTAGAGCAGGTGTCTCCAACCTTGGCACCTTTAAGACTTGCGGACTTCAACTCCCAGAGTTCCTCAGGCTGAGGAACTCTGGGAGTTGAAGTCCACAAGCCTTAAAGGTGCCCAGGTTGGAGACACCTGCCCTAGAGCCCCAGATTGTCTATTTCTGTCTTGTAAGAATCATAGGATGTATAGAGAGCGTGGGTGAGGAATTGTGCCCTATAACTTAACATTCGACTTACATTGAAGAGCTATGGTGATGCAGTGGTTAGAATGTGGTATTGCAAGCTAACTCTGCCCAGACACCGGGAGTTCTATCCTGACCGGTTTGAGGTTGACTCAGCCTTCCATCCTTCTGAGGTTGGTAAAAGGAGGACCCAGATTGTTGGGGGCAGTATGCTGACTCTGTAAACCGCTTAGCGCTGTGAAGCATTGTGAAGCGATATATAAGTCTAAGTTGGTACATTTTAGTATCTTGTGGCCTTGTTAGCTAATAACCCCCTCCCTCTTGAATGAAGCCGTGTTGTGTTTCTCTTTGTTCCTTCCATCCTTTCCTGTCTTCAGAGCTTTAAATATTTTCAAGCAGTGGCTTAGCACAATTCATGAAGTTTATAGCTGACGAAACAATGTCGTAGGTAAGTTTGGGGCTCAGGTGCTGATTACCTCTTTCTCTCTGTGTGACATTTATAGCTACCTTGCTGAACACCGGCAGCACAGCAACGGTGGCTCTGCTGCGAGATGGCATTGAGCTGGTGGTAGCCAGTGTGGGCGATAGCCGTGCGCTGTTATGCCGCAAAGGAAAAGCTGAGAAACTGACCATTGATCATACTCCAGAACGGAAGGATGAGAAGGAAAGGTACCTCTGCAAAATACATCACTTTGTGCTTAGTTTCTCTCCCCCAATTTTAAAGAGATGTCTTTCGAAGTTGTAGAAATGGAATGATTTGTCAGAATTCTTCAAGTAAAATGATGGTTTGAATTGTTTGTAGAAACATAACATGCATGATAGTAGCTGTTATTTTATATTCTTCTTTTTAAGAATCAAGAAATGTGGTGGTTTTATCGCCTGGAACAGTTTGGGGCAACCCCATGTGAATGGCAGACTTGCAATGACCCGTAGCATTGGAGATTTGGATCTTAAGAAATGTGGTGTGATTGCAGAACCTGAAACGAAACGGGTGCAGGTAAGCGGTTGTGTTGTATGCCTTCTCTCACATATCTGAAGGTGCAATAGCAGTAGCACTTAGACTTATATACTGCTTCCCAATGCTTTACAGCCCTCTAGGCGGTTTACAGAGTCAGCCTCTTGCTCCCAACAACCTGGGTCCTCATTTTACCCACCTCGGAAGGATGGAAGGCTGAGTCAACCTTGAGCCTTGTGAGATTTGAACGGCCAACATGCAGGCAGCCAGCAATCAGCAGAAGTAGCCTGCAGTACTGCACTCTAACTACTGTGCCACCGTGGCACTTTATTGAAAGCTGATTTGGTGCAAACACTGTAGTTGTATGGGATGTCTCATTTGTGACATTCTTGTTTTAGGCAGTTAATGCTCATATACTGGACTGAGAATTTTATTTATATTTGAATTTCTTTATTTGTTTGTTTGTTTATTTATTTATTTTGTCAAGCAATTATAAGATTACAGGTATAAGTATATACATAGTTATATACTTAGTTATGGATACATATAAGAAAAATAAAAAGAAACAATAGGACAGGGACGGTAGACATGTTGGTGTGCTTATGCACGTCCCCTACAGACCTCTTAGAAAAGGGTCAATAGTAGACAGTCTAAGGTTAAAGTTTTGGGGTTTGGGGAAGAAACCCTAGAGTCAGGTAGAGTATTCCAGACACTGACCACTCTGTGGCTGAAGTTCTATTTCCTGCAATCAAGTTTGGTGCGGTTAACCTTGAGTTTGTATCTATTGTGTGCTCTTGTATTGTTATGATTGAAGCTGAAGTATTCATTGACAAGTTGGACATTGCAATATATAATTTTATATACTATACTTAGATCGGACCGAAGGCGGTGTAGTTCAAGGTTTTCTAGGTCTAGAATTTCAAGTCTGGTGGCATAAAGTATTCTGCAACAAGTAGAGGAGTGGAGAACACTTCTTGTATGGATCTTCACACACACACACAAAGACCACCCTGCAGAATTCAGAAACTGATCTTTTCTTAAATCAGGAATAGGTAAATATTTTTCATCTGAAAAGTGTTCCTAATAATAAAAAGAATAGATCTCCAACTGGTACAGGGTGTGAGGCCCACTGCACTGATTTTATGATCTACTTGAGTGGCTTGAGCCAACCCTTTTAAAACATGTTTTAAAAAAGCGCTTCATTGCTCTAATTCAGTGGTCCCCAACCCCTGGGCCACGACCCAGTGCCAGGCTGCAGCCCACTTGGAACCGGGCCATGGAAGTGGTGGGCAAGCTTGCGAGTGGATGCAGTGCTGCGTTTGTGAAAGCTGCTTGCATGCATGTGCAAAACTATCCCCCATCTCTTCCCTGCCTCTGGCCAAACCAGAATAGTTGGAGACCGTTGCTCTAATTTTATATATCTTTGCATCCAATGCTATCTGATGCATGCTGTTTTGGAACTGGGAAGTGTGCCAACTAAAATAGGTATTCCTATTTTTAGTTTAGGAAGAGCAAGTTAGGTCAGTTTGTGTAGAAATGGAATCCAAACAAGTTTTTTTTTCATTATTAATCTCTATATAGCAGTTTCTACTAGAGCAGGGGTGTCAAAGTTGCATCATCACATGATGTGACTTTCCCCCCCTTCACTGAACCGGGCGTGACCAACACATGATGCCTCCAGCCTGCAGGCCGCGAGTTTGACAGCCCTGTACTAGAGCATCAAAAATCTGGAAGATTTATATATTCTTTGTGTTGCCTTAGTTGCACCATACAAGTGACAGCTTCTTGGTCCTGACCACAGATGGCATCAACTTCATGGTAAACAGCCAAGAGATCTGTGATTTTGTTAACCAGTGCCATGATCCAACTGAAGCAGCTCACATCATCACTGAGCAGGTAGGTATTTCTGCCTTGGGAACCGTTGTTACCGGCCAACTTTTAGCTAACGGTACCTGTATTTCTGGGAGACCATGGATGATTCCAATGGAAGAGAACATCAATAGCTCAAGGAGGAACTGTGAAGTTCCTGGTGGTCTCTGTTACAGGTGTTACGTCGGCCTTGTATGAAGCTTCATTCCTCTCTAGCATTCATTTCCATTATTTTGTGATGCATGTCCTGCCTCTCTAGGATTTATTTTAGTGCTCCAGTGAGGCACTTCCTGTTCCTCTGTGTGTGTGTATGTGTGTATGTGTGTGTATGTGTATATATATGTGTGTGTGTATGATATATATATATATATATACACACACACACACACACACACACACACACATACACACATACATATGTCATTCATTCATTCAATGATGACTTGTACATATATACATTACATACATACGTACATAAATACATACATGCATGCATGCATACATACATACATACATACATATTCAATGATGATTTGTATGGCATTTTTTAACTGCATTTTATTAAACTACTTGAAACACTCTCTCATCTTAGTTGTTAGCTTGCAGATGTTTCATTACCCAACCAGGTAACATCATCCGTGCACAGGTGATGCTCCCACTGAAGTTGCCTAGTTGGGCATTGGTAGTCCTTGATCTAGGACCGTAACGGTGCCTGCCCATTATAGTGGTCATGGTCTTAAAGCCATGTGAGTGACCCAGTTTTACCACCTGAGCGAATGCGACAGTCTTTAAGCAAATGCTGCCCTCATGAAGCAAACCCATTGTTCATGAATCAAACCCATTGTTCACTTTTGCTGAAAATGGGACGTAAATGCTGGCTTTTGGCAAAACCGTCTATTGCAGTCATGTGACTCTGCAAATGGCTGTAAATGTGGGCTGGTTGCTGGGCAACCAAAATGGCATCACGTGACTTGGGGGGTGGGGGGAGACAGTGGTCGAAACTTTGGAACTTTGGGTGGGGTCTGTTGCTATACAACTGGTCATATAAGTCAACCACTGCCTGTAAATGAAATGTCTGCAGCAAGCAACCAAGTTTAGAGAGCACCAAGAATCCCACAATTTGAGGAATGAGGTATCCTCTTGTAAACTTTTACAGGTGATGCAATCATTAAAGCCTGTTTTGTTTCCTGTCTTTGAGGGGGTAGTAATAATTCTAAAACAACATAAAAATAGCTTGCCATCTGGCACTCCAGTATGGTTTTAGAAGTCACACATTGGGGGGACAGTCTAAGGCCATATGTGGGACACGTATAGCTCCCCCCAGAACGCTCCCCCCCCCCCCCCCAGCTGAAAACCATGTTTACATCAAAGTTGGAGGACTTAAGCAGGACAGAATTTCCACTCTTTATCTCCCACCCAAATTTTTTTTTAAAAAAGGCCAAAAAATTAATCCCTGTTTCTTTTGGTAATGTCATCATCCTTCCATCTATCATTTAGGGCTCTTTAGCATGATTGAGTAGGGAAGGGGCAGGAAAAATTAATTGCTCATCCTTTGTGGTGTAGGGAATCTTCGCTCCTGGATAATAATTGTTGCTCTAAGATACCCAGAGAACAGTTTGGTTTTAGAAACAGAAAAAAGTTTTCCCTCTTTTTCTAGAAGGTGTCCTGATAGGGAAATCTTCCATTAGATTTTATTTAGAGGTTACTAAAAATACTCCCTGATACAGCTTAATATCTTTTGCTGGACGGCTGCTTTTGCTTTTCTGTGGAAAGCAGTGAACTGTCACCGTATATTATTTCTATTTATCCTATTGAGGCCTATCTGGACCTCCAGGAATTCTTATAAATGAACATGGTTATAGAAGTTCACCTTTATCAATAGAAGAGAATATATGTAGCTCAGGGTGGAACTGTGGGGTCCTTGGTACTCTCTGAGGCTGGTTGTTCCTGGGCAAACATTTCATTACCCAACTAGGTAACAACATCAGTGCTCTGATCATGTTACTTAGTAGGGTTATAAAATGTCTGCAAAAATGCAAAGAAACTCAAAGAACACCAAGGATGGCAAAGCTCACCTTTGCTCAGTAGAATGGCAACTTCCTTCTCCCCCCACCCCCGAAAATATCCTTTATACCAGGTGTATCAAACCCAAGGCCTGCGGGCCGGGTGCAGCTCATGGGTGCTTATATTTGGCCCGTGGGGCTGCCCTGAAAACTGGACTGGCTCATGATGCTTCTGCCAGCAAAAATGGAGCTCTGGAGGGCCGTGTGCATCTTCCCAAGCTCCATTTTCGGCTGTGACGGCTTGCTGCAGAAGGCCTTTGCAGCTGAAAACAGAGTCTGGGAAGGGGTACCCCCAACACAAGTGATGTCGAGTTAGCCACACCCACCTGGCCCCTGAGATCAAACACAACCCTGATGTGGCCCTCAATGACATTGGGTTTGTCACCCCTGCCTTATACATTTTATTTGCTGAAATTAGAATGACTACAATGGTTGTCGAATTTTCAAAACTGCAACTAAAATTGTTTGAAGATTGGTGATTGAGAGTGAAACTAAAATATCTGCCTTTCTCATTGTTTTACAAGGCTATGCAGTACGGGGCAGAAGATAACAGCACCGCGATTGTAGTGCCATTCGGAGCATGGGGCAAATACAAAAACTCTGAGATCAATTTTTCCTTCAGCCGCGGTTTTGGTTCAAGTGGAAGATGGGCATGAGTGTCTTCTGTGCCAAGCTGCTGAATGTTTAAAGATGTAGATTGCAGAAAGGTGATATGTAGGTTAAAAAAAAAAAAACACCTCCATCTCTTCTAACAACAGGCCCTTTCTTGTTGGGTAGCAAACTGCTGTTAACTTGATGTCACCTCTGTCTTTGTTACTAGCTTTTCTCAAACCAAGCATTCTCACACCTTCGGTCCTTCTGCGGGAGCAAGATGCTGATATTTTTGTGGCTTCCTGTCATTGTGGTATCACCTGTTTCTCCTGATGTTCTTGAGATGTTTTAGAGAAACGAAGGAATGTGGCAGGTGGAAGCAGACTGCACAGCACTGCAGTTGGTGAACCAAAGGAAAAGAAAAATAGCATTTTATCTCCTTCGCTATTCCACCCACAGAAAAGGAAATTCAAAGACTGCTAGAAGGGTGGAGAATTGAGAGGTGGGTTTAATTGCTAGTTCACCATCACTGTCAGATCGGGATTAGAATGGTTCAATTCTATAAAAGCAGCACTTTGGTCTCAGGACTGATAACGATTGTCCAGAGGCAGAGATATATAACTATGCACTTCCTGTACTGATGCCCCCGCTTTTTTGAGAAGCAGAGAAAGAGAGTTGTACACTTAGTTAAACATTTGCATTTTGTCTAATGTATAACTCGAGATACACTATAGCTCTTGAAACAGTACTAACCAGGATATGCTACGTTAGTATGTCTTCTAAAAAATATCAAATGAATTCTGTTTTTTCCCCTTTAAAGGGGCCAGTGCTGACCCCCCCCTTTTATTTTTAAATGTTCCACATTGGCTAATGTTAAATTCCTTCTCTAAGTAAGAATGCACAGCTTTAATGCAATTAATTTTGGTGATGAGATTAGTTTGGTTTGTTTCACAGTTGAGAAGAAGATGAGCAAAACCCACTCGGTTTTCTAGGTTCTGGCTAATGAAAGAACATAGTCTAATAGTCTGCTTAGAATTGTCCCCAACTTTTATCTAAAGTAAAAATTGGAGGGAAATGAAAGTTGTTTCAGAGAGGCTAGTAAAATATTTTCACAAGATTCTATCCCTCCGCATTTTAAAATCCAGCTGTGAAGGGAACAAATCGGTGTGTTATCCAGCAATTGAAGTACAGTAATTGAAGTAAAAGCAAGGTTAATTCCACGGCACAGGCGTCTTTCAATTCCTCTGGGGAACCTTCTCCAAGTTTCTGCCCTTTCAATGCTGGTGGGGAGGCCGCTGATAACACCCATTTGATTGGGAATTTCAGGAGGTTTATTACCTACCTGAGAATATCAGGTGGAACAAAGAGCAGAAGTACTGGTGTTAAAAATCTATTTCTAAATCTGAAATTGTTTATCTCAATGGTGAGATCTCATGACAGTGCCAAAATATCCTGCATTCTTGCCGAGCAAGAAAACTGCAGCTTCATAAGATTTGATGATCTTAGAAGCTTCCAGCTTTTGGGGTGGAAAAATCCAATGAATCTTGAAACTCCCCTAATTTAGGCCAGCGCCACCTACGTATGTTGTGAGTGTTATATTACTGATGGATACTGAATTTCCAGTCCCCGTTAATATGTTTGTACGCACAAGGTGTGAGAATTCAGGAGGCCTCCTGAGTCCTAGATATCCTCGAGAGAGCAAATGAGGAAACCTTTGTCATGACCTCATTGGACAAATGTGATTGGCATCAATCCGGGGACAGATACAAATTACACAACATTGTTGTAGGATGGTGTTACAATGCCCTTCGTAATGTTATTGCGACTTCTGATAGATGACTGTGGCTGCAGGATAAACATTGGGAGTGTTTCCTTGGACTCAAAGAGAAATAATATTAAATGAAAATGCAATACTCACCTTCCCCTGCACAGAGTTACTTCACATCTAGGAATCATAGCACTCAGCCGTTTAGTTGAACCCTGGTCACAATGTGAATGATGGACTTACACAACTGCATATCTAAACCTGTAGCACCAAAAGCCACTTTGGTGTCAATCATTCCAACGCTGCCTCTCTCCATTTGCCTGTTTGTAACTGATCCTTTGAACTTGTGAAAGACTGCAGAGAGCGTCCCCCCCCCCCAGCTATTCTGTTTTTTTGTCTGCTGTAAATTTTTATTTGTATTCCATACGCACAATTTCTATAATATGATTATATAGACTTTAAAAGTTACGTTTAGCAATTGTGTACCCTTTATCGGTTGCTATCATTTAAGACACTAAAGTAGTGTATATTGATGTTAAAAAACATTTTGTTCTTCCTGGGTTATTATTTTGTTTTAAAAGGGCTTTTGTTTTGTTCATGTTTGCTACAATAAAAACACCATCTCTTCCTGTGGGCTAAAACAGGCATGCAGTCAGAATTGTCATCATTATATAACATAAATATATGATGTAAATAAAATGTACTTCCGGATAAAGAAGCAGCTTTGGCCATGATTCAGCTCCTTTCTTTTAGAAAAAAAACAACAACACTCAATAGCAGCAGCTCATAAAAGAAAAGGAAGATAATAATTACCAAAGGCAGGGAAAGCATTATGTCCCTGTGCCCACAAAGTACATGCCATTGCAGAAAAATGGAATTTTTTCCTCCAGAGCACAATAGAAAGGAGTTAAATTCTCTCCCCATTTCTGTTCTAATCTTAGTTATCCTGTCCTAGATATCCATTCCTTCAGCTGACATTGCTGGCGTATTTTTTTTAAGTTGCAGCAATAAACACAAGGACATACAGATTATCTCCTTTGGCACTCATAAATCTAGTAATAAAGGGAATCTCAATCAGGAAATTCATAAATCTAATATTTATATATATTTTTAAAGACACAATATATTAAAAGGAGATGTGTGTGTAGGTCTCTGTATTGTATAACTGAAATCTGAAATTGGTTAGGAAAAAAATTGTAGAATTTTCAAAGAAATTACTTGAGACTGTGTTTGAAAGCATCAAGGCACTAAACTAATTGTAGCCCTTTTTAGCGACAAGAAGTCCAGGTTTGGAAGATGCAATTGTTTGCTTCCTGTTGTGGATTGCAAACAAGATTTATCAAACATCTGAGTTACAGGAATAATTGCCCCCATCCAGCTTAGAATATTACAGATTGAAGACATTTATTATCCTGCAACCCTTATGGATCTGGTGATTGTTCAGTAGACACGGAATTGAATTCAGTTGCCATTTCCTTTGTAAACAGGAGAAACTGGAGGGTGGTATAGATAGAACTACCAATTGTTTGGATGGTTTACCTGTGTGGCTGGTTTACCTGTGAAGTCAGTATGCTATCACCGGTTCATTCAAAGTGTGTTTGGTATCAGATGGCCGAGTGAAAGTTACCATATGTTTATATTCTTCAGTTCCAGCATATTTAAGTTGCATAAATTTAGGAAAGGGAATAGGCAAACCAGCTGTGATTTAGGAAAGGAAGTTTAGATTTGTTCTGACACTCAGTTTATTGATCCCAAACAATAGGTAATTTTCCCACCACATTGAATGCGCTGTAGGGAAAATTTCTCAAGGTTATTAAACTGCAGTGCCTCCTTCACAGAAGGAAACAATGATTAGGAAAGGATTACTGTTCCTGAAATATCTAGAAAGGTTTAGCAACCTGGCACATAAAAATTACTTTAAAAAAAAAATACTAAAGTGCGCTTCTTTAAATCACTATGCATTTCTGTTTTAGGAAGCATGTGAAAATGTACACTTGGCAATCCAGATTGCTGGGAGAGGTGTTGAAATGTATGGCATAAGATATGTGTGGGCCTTAGCTGCCGTATTTCTGCAGGATGTAAGACGGGAAATGATGATTGTGGTGAAAGTCCCACAAATGTTTATAAGAATATACTTATTTCTTAGGCTTATTTATTCTTTTGTTGGCACGATATGCTTCCTTTCAGTTTTATTTCCAATGAAGCAGAGTTGCAGTGCATGTTCTTGTATGTGTCACCCCTGGAAGCAATTTCCAAAGGAGCTGCCCAGGCCTTGCAAAAGATACGACTGCTTTAACGATGCAAAGCAAAGAGCTTTGTTCATGCCCTCATGCATGACACCGTATTTCCTGGCTGCTTTTCATCATCATTTATTGTTTGGATTGAAGGCCAAGAGTGTGTCCAAAATACCAGTATTGTGATAAAATATGTACATATTTTGAAGAAGTGTAAAGATGACTGGGCTTGTTATTTCATTTTCACTGGTTTATTTTACAACTGTATATTTGTCATGGAGCAAATGGAAGGACTGAAAACATTTGAAATAAAGAGCTTGCTCCCTAGTGCTTTCTGTCTTCTTTTTCTTTCCTTTTCAGCGCCATAGATTTTCGTAAAATGTATTTATCAAATGTAGACTCTGTCCATCCTCCTATTCAAGAACTTAATCCAATGCATTGTTCCCCAAATCTAGCATTTCCCCAGATATTCCCAGCCAGTATTGGGGGGCGGGAGAGTAGAAGCGGTATAACACAAGAGGGCTATAATGGATAACTTCAGAGTCCCACTTGCTTGTGAACTTGAATATGTGAGACGATAATGGTGCAATAGAAACCTTGCCTGGAAATAATCAACCAGTAGGACTCACAATTACGCCATGGTATTTAGTAACTTAGACTTATATACTGCTTTACTGTGCTAAACAGCCTCTCTAAGCAGTTTACAGAGTCAGCATATTCCCCCCAACAATCTGGCTCCTTATTTTACTGACTTCAGAGGGATGGAAGGCTGAGTCAACATTGAGCCGGTGAGAATCGAACTGCTGGCAGTAGAAAGCAAGAGTTAGCCCGCAATACTACATTCTAATCACTGTGCCACCACGGTTCTCAGCACATCTGAGATTTATTGTCCTGTTGGGTGGGAACTGAAGGCAGGAATTTCAAGTTGCTTTGTCAAGGGAGAAGGGTGTAATTTGACTGAGTGAGCTTTCTCTACAGAGGTTAATTGGATTGCCAATTAAAAAGATCACAATGGTTTGTTTTTTCCAGCCTGAACAGAGAGTGCTGGGTTTGGTAGTCAAATAAGATGGCTTGTAGTATTGGGTCCGCCTTTGGAATATTCATATCCTACGTTATTACTGTAATTGACAAACCACAATGGTTAAGTTTAGACAACACAATAAACCCAAGCAAAACAAATTAACATTAAGTGTGAACTAAGTTCTTGTGTTCCATTCATTAAATCAAAGATTGGAAGAAGGAGTCCAAATGAAACCATCCACGAATGAGATACTTCCTCTCCCTTGTACTAGAAGACATCCTTGAAAGGGAAGATCAGTGACAGCATGATATTACTCATCCCCTCTTCCTGCAGATCCATGCCATGTCACTATTTTTAACCCAGAAAATGTAAGCCTCAAAATGTTGGAACGACAAAGGCAGCTCTGTCTACATGTTTGCTTGCAATATAGACGATGGATAAATAGGGGTAGCTATAAAAATTCAGATAAGTGAATGACGTGGAAGATGTTGGCATGAGACAGGAATTGGCACATATTACATCAAATAGTTCAGGCAATGCAAAATTGGATCCTCTCCATGGCAAACTTTGAGAGCAATCAACCATGTTAGATGAGATTCTTATTTGTAAACTTTTGCCAGGGCTTTCCCTAGCGAGCAGTCGGAAGGGCCTGTCAAATTAATTAGTCATTGAAGTAGCATGTAACTTTAACCCACATTTGGAGACAGAAATTAAATAGGCTAATCTTCACTGCTAAATTCAGGTTCTTGGATTGATAGCCAAGATACGGCCTCTTTAGTGACAGGTGCTCTGACCCAGATATAAAACTCAAATCTCTTTTAAAATGCTGGCCAGCACTGACTGTGACACATGGAGAAGCACCTGCCCATCTTGTTACACACTCCAAATGTATACACAATAGTGTATGATGAAGGAATGCTCAGCTTTGCCAGGAAAGATGAAGCATTGTTTCTTCCATTGACTGGAACTGAGATAGATAGATGGATAGATGGATGGATGGATGGATAGATAGATAGATAGATAGATAGATAGATAGATAGATAGATAGATAGATAGATAGATAGATAGATAGATAGATAGGCAGGCAGGCAGGCAGGCAGGCAGGCAGGCAGGCAGGCAGGATTAGAATAGAATAGAATTAGAATAGAATAGAATAGAATAGAATAGAATAGAATAGAATAGAATACTTTATTGGCCAAGTGTGATGGGGGCCAATTGGTCAGCACAGACTTTTAAGCAAGAAGGAGTTATCTTGTCTGGCCTTGTGCAGACAGACAGACAGACAGACAGATGATAGAGATATAGAGATAGATATAAAAGTTTTAATGTGTATACTTCTCAGAGCCCCTCTGAGGAGATGGGCAGTTAAGATGCTTGATAAACAAATTGTTCCCAGTGTTAAAAAGTTAAAATGCTTAATATGTGGGGTTTTTTTTATCTCAGGTCCTTCTAGACAGAATGTTCTCATTACAATAACATTTGATTTGGCTGCTAAATATGCCTCAGAAATATGTCACACATCAATTTCAGCCAATGCTTCCTGATAAACAGGCTCCAGGCAGGATTAGATTAATTCCCAACTACTTGGATTCTCTGTAAAATTCGATAAGAGAGCCAGACGATTGAAGAATAGAAAATTCCTTCTTTAATAGCCCTCTGCTTAAATCACTTCTTGAGGACACATTTGTAATGCTTTCTTCCCAAAAGAAAACCATCGTTTCATTTACCAAGAAGTCGAAACAGATGCTATGGCTCCCTCTTTCTGAAAAATGGCCAATATTTTTCAATCTTTTCAAAAGATTCTTTCTAGGTTGGTTGTACCAACGCCCAACTGGAAAAGAGCCAAAACAGACTCACACAGGCCAGTCACAAAACTGGCAGCAGTTTTATTGTCTTACTGTCAACACCATTCAGTTATCCCTGAGGAGGTGTGTGTTTCTCTTTTCCTGCAGGTCCTGCCCCCTTTCAAACTTCACGCCAAGCACAGAGTGTTGCCTGGGATCAAAATATTCCATCGAGGCAGCTGGCACTTTGCTCATAGCATTATCAAATTGCAAAACTTAAAAGTCTCCTCCAAAAGTTTAGAAACAACAAGAACAGGATAAGTTTCCATCTTAGAATCAAAATAAGCAACCCACTTTAGAGTTAAACTACCAGAAGCAACCTAGAACTAGGGAGAAATTTCCTGGCAGTTAGAACAATTAATCAGTGGAACAAATTGCCTCCAGAAGTTGTGAATGCTCGAACACTGGAAGTTTTTTTAAAAGATGTTTGTCTCAAACCATTTGTCTGAAGTGGTGTAGGGTTTGCTGCCTAAGCAGGGGGTTGGACTAGAAGACCTCCAGGGTCCCTACCAACTCTGTTATTCTGAACCAAGGTCACTGACTGAGATGAGTCAAGTGTCCACATCCTGAAGTGTGTACACAGAAAAAATATCTGGCTGGCATCTTTTTGGCACCTTCTACACAGAGTGCCTGCATTTCTCCTGGATGGCTCCTTACTCTTGTAATCCTGTGCTGTCAATCTAGACCACAAGGGTCAAACCTGTGGTATCATGTTGCTGTCACATGACGTATCGTGACCGTTTTTCGCTTCGCAGAACTGGCCTGCATGTGATGCATCTGGCCATATAACACCATTTTCATTCTTTGCAACTTTTTGGTATTGGTATACATATGATTTACATACATTTTAATTATATATACATATGCATGCATACATACATACATACATACATACATATTCCTTTATATATATTGTTCCACTGTAATATCTTTATATCTATTATTTAATCAATTATACCATGCGTTCCAAATCAAATAATATTCAGTTTCTCCTCTATCTTTTATTTCCATTGTCAGCCTATCCATTTCGGCACACTCTGATACTTTCTTTATCACACTTTCCTCAGATGGTATAGTACCATTTTCCCAGTTTTGCGCATAGACAATTCTAGTCGCCATTATTAAATGTAGCATTTAGATATTGTGGGGTTTTTTTGTCATATTTTCCTGTTATTATGCCTAATAAGAATATCTCTGGTTTTAACTCTATTTGTTGTTTAGTTATTTCCTCAACCCACTTTCTTATCCTTACCCAATATTTTTTTGCTACTGAACCCTAACCCTAACCCAATAGACAGGTGTTTCTAAACAATACCCACCTTAACACGTGTGGATTTCAACTCCCAGATTTCCCCCAGCCAGTGATGTGTGCAGCCTTTTAAACAGAAATGTTTTTTAAAAAAAAATGCTGTTCTGATAAACTGTAGTTAGAGAAAGCTCTGGGCACGAAGAAGCAATCTGGCCCAGGATTACATGGCAATACTGTACTTTTGAGGAGCACTTCAAAACATTACTGAATTGCCTCTCTTGAGTTCATTGTTTGAAGGGTCATGTCTCTTGAGGACTGCATACGGAAAAAGCCTTAAGGCCTTTTCCGGATGTTTTGACTTACATTGACCACCAGGGGGCAAGCATTATATAATGAGTTTCATGCTACTTGGGGCTGTTCAGATGAAAGGTGCCAGATGTTATTCTATGAGGTTTAAATCTTCTACCAGAAATTGGCTTTCAGCAATTGCAGGAAGGGATGTATAGAATCTACACAATTAATACCCAAATATGTGTTATTGGCAATATGTCAAAAGCTGACATTTTATAGAATGCCTAAAAAATCTATAGAATGTATGACATTTTTAGACAAACCATGAAATGTCTGGGTTATTTCAATATGCTATATACTTTCCCTAGGCATTGAATATAATACTTAGGCATTAGGTAGAATAACAATAATTTTTTTAGCTAAGATGAAAACAGAGCATAAAATGAAAACTTGACACTACCTCTCACCTTATCCATAACCCTAACCCTAACATTGCCCCACTCCTACCCCTAACCCCAAAGCTATCCTTAACCCTATCCCTATCCCTAATACTAACCATATTCCTAAAGATAACCCTGTCCCTACCCCTGCCCCTAAACCTATCACTTTATAAGCATGTATGAAAGTGACAGAAGAAACTGGAAGTAATGTACAGGACTTGTAATGTATAGGTCAATCCATTAGGAGCAACGCGGTATAAAAGAAGTACCATAATGATATTTAAAAATATTTCAGAGATGCCTATTTCTCTTACAAATATAGATCTATAATAATTATAATTATTATAGATCTATAATAATTCTGGTGAAAGCTGTCACACTGGCTACTACAGGTAGCAAGGTCAGGATCAACTGCAGTACCACTATAGTATCACCAGGGGCTACCACTGATCTTTGCAAAGAAAAGCTTCTCTAAGAGTT